TTAAAATTGTATATAGTGCAAGATGTTACATATATATGTTATATATTTTATATATATTATATAGTATATATAGTGTTAGATATATTGTAATCTTATGCATTACATATGATTATATAGAATATTAAGTATTTATACATATATATTATATTATATATATTATATTATATTATATTATATTATATTATATTATATTATATTATATTATATTATATGAGTCTAGTGACATCATATATAACTTTACTATGTAGTGGAAAATGGAAAAGATAACTGGGGTTTTTAATTTCTAATTATTTTCTCTGGGCAGTTAGGGACAGGCAGGGAGGTTTCATAAACTGAGTTCTGGTTAGGGTATGGGGACAGAGGGTGTGTGTTTAGGAGTTAGAACTCTGAAGCAAGGCAGGAACTGGGAGGATGCTTCAGAGATGTCAGCCTGGAGACCGACATGAATGCTACAGGAGCTGCTGAGATTTCCCGACACAGGAAGAGTGGCCTTGTCTGCTTTCTGGGAGGTTCTTGGCACATGAGGTTTACCTTTCTTCCAGTGATGATCATTGTCAAATGACAAAGCAGATTGTATAGGGATAAATGCTGAAATAGAATTTAGTATTTAAAGAGCAGAGAGGTAGTAGCTGCTTTGGGTCAACCTTTACAGATTTAGAGAAAGATGTATTTAGACAAGTGTGAGGGAGGTGCTTGCTGGGCAAGCATTACTTTCTAAGCAGAAGGAACATCTTTACAGGGTGTCTGAACAGGGTGGTGATGATGGCTCATGGTCTGGGAGATTCTCTGGTTTGCAGTATCGAGTCTCCTGGGGCTAGGAGACAGCACATTGGGGGAACTGTAGAAGCACAGAAGCCCGGTTTATTCTACACGTACATGTACCTGGAGAGAGTTTACTTCCATAGCAATTAAATCCCAAGTGCTCTTATGCTGAACACTTGCTCTCTCCATCCCACCCCTCCCCCATCTATGCTCTATTTAAGTCCTTGGTTTAGCACAGGCATTTTCTGGGAAATCGTTATTCTGTCGTCTCTGCCCCTGCCTGTGGTAGAGCTCTCTCCTCTGTTCTTGTTTTATCACAGTATGTGACCCTGCATTGTGATTAGACTCTATCATCCTTATGGCCACAGTCTATGGCTGTGAATATGTTTCCTTAGCTGCGGGGAGGGGCTGGAACAGCTTTTCAAATAGTGGAGATTTTAGGGAGGAAAAAGGCTACCTACCACTTTAATGATCTTTCTTTTTTCATTCATTCATTAATTTATTCACTTTATATCTCAATCACTGTCCTCCCTCCTCCTGGTCTCACTCTTACATAGTACCTCCCCCCCCTTCTCCTCTTAGAAAGGGGAAGCTCCCCTTGGGTCTTTAATGATATTTCTATCCTAGTCACAGGGCACATGGAAACATAAAACGCCATTCTGTGTAATCAATACTCCTAGTAAAAGTTGGACTGAAAGTGAAGAGAAAAAAGTAAAACCTGTGTTCTGTGTCCTGGGACAGATTCTCATTGGTCTGATTGTTTGAACCCAAAATTCAAATCTCTCTCTTCTCCAGAGACCACTAAGAAGAGCTTGCTCATGAATGGATCCTATCAAGAGGAAAACACAATCCAGAGACAGATCTCTGGACTTATCATATGAATACCTGAAATTTTTAGTTACACAAGCCAGTAAAATTCATACTACAAAGTGGTTGGTTTTTGTCAAATGAGCTGAAAGAATTCAGACTGGGACTGGAAAAGTAACTCAGGCACATCTGATGCTAGTGTTCATATGGCTTGGCTTCCTCACATGGCCAATGAGGAGGTTGCAGTCATTTGCAGTACAGTGATACTAGGTTGGTATAGACAATTCCCTATTCTAGAGGCAAATAAGAAACTAGCAACAAGAGACTGGAGCAATAGCTGCTCTTCCAGACCCATGTGGCAGCTCACAACTATCTGTAATGCCTGTTCTAGAGGACTTGACACTCTTCTGCCCTCTGAGGGCACTGCATGAACATGGTGCACATACATGCAGGAAAAAAAAACAAACCCATGCATGTAATAGATGTGGAAAAAAGAGAAAGTAATAATACCCATTGCATATCATTATGTCATCTGCTTTCTATACTTTCTGTAGCTACCACGGTGATATCTATGGTTGTGAAATAAGTATATTTCCACGGCAGAAAGACATTTCCAATAGCAGGGCAATTTAGAGCAGTTATGTATGTACTTCAGGCTTTGGGGACCCATGATTTTTTGTTGTAACCACTCAAATATTGCTATAGTGAAAAATGGCCTGAGATATTATGTGAATTCATGAGGACATCTGTGTTCTAATTAAAACTTCCTTGGACCCTGAAATTTAATTTTCATGTGCCACAAGATAATAGTCTTTGACTTTTTCCTCAACCACTTCCATTCCCAGCTGTACAAAAAAAGGCAGTGTGTCACTCTGCTGAGGCACCACCTGCTTGGGGAGATGCTTGCAGGCCTGACATATTTCAGATTCTCCCTAGAACTCTTCTATTGTACTGTGTTTGAAGTACATTATGAAGTACATGAGGTAGGCTACCTTATAGCTAAAGGAAAGAGGTTAATTTTAGCACAGTTCTGGAGATCCACCGGTAGTGAAGGGATGGATCTAATGATGGCCTTCTTACTGGCAGGGTCATGAGGTTTACATGTGAGGTATGCAAGATGAGTCACAGGGAGCAAGCATGTATGCATGCATCTACTGGTCCCCCTCCCCTTCCTTGTCCCTCTCTTTTTTTTTTTTTTTTTTTTTTTTTTTCTTGAGACAGGGTCTCACTATGTAGCTTTGGCTGGTTTGGAACTCACTATGTAGACCAGGCTGGACTCGAAGTCACAGAAATCCACTTCTCTTTATATCCCAAGTGTTAGGATAGAAGGTGTGTGCTACCACACTTGGCTCAACTGTTCAACCTCGTAATACTTCATAAAGAGGGTTCAGCTTCATCTCGTGAACCCTTGGAGGACACATTGAAACAGTAACGTCTATTAACTGTATGATCCTGTGTGAGCCCCATCACCTCTCTGGGTTTCCCCACTTTTCACCTGCATCACAAAAGAGTGACAACATAGGATGGTCTCACAAGTCTCTTCAACTTTCAAGCAACTGAGGTCCTAGTATCTCACCCAGCATTCACTGAGCATGTGTTACATGATAGGCACTGTTTAAAAGTCTGGTGGCACAGCAGTGACAATGTTCTTTCTTGAAGTCAACATTAAACAGAGGACAGATATCCAATTATATAGAATGTTGGGTAGTGGTGAGTTAGTTCTATTTAGAAAATAAGAAGTCGAGAAGTGGAAAGTGGCAGGGATGTAATTTTGATGGGAGGCCAAGGACAGCCTCTTAATCACTGACACGTGAGGAGACAAACGAGCAGATGGCATAGCCTCAAGAGCATCTCAGGCAAAATCAGCAGCTAATGGACTCTCTCAGGAAGTTGTACCCAAACGAACAGGGAGGCCACTATGGCTGAGGATAATGACCAACAGTGGAAGAGGCCATACGGTAGACGGAAGTTAAGCGTAAGTCATTTGGGACCATATAAATCTATGGGTTTTATTCTAGATGTGATGGAAAGCCATCAGATGTTTATTATTTAAACTTTAAAAAGTCTTGCTATGGTGTACAGGGTCTCTATGTCTTTCTGGACTTAAATGGTTCTACTTCTGCCTCTCCAATAGCTATCTATGACTACAGATACATGCTACTATATATAGCTTGAGAATGACATTTCAAAAGAATTTTTTAAAAAAGGCTGTTGGGTCTTGTGACAAGATTTGTTAGTCCAGCTACTTAAAGTCTGAGGCACAAGTTCAAGTCCTACTTGGGTTATGAGACCCTTTCTCAAAACGAAAAAACAGGAAAGGGGCTAAGTATGTAGTTCAAAGATAAGAGCACTTGTCTAGTACATGCAAATTCCTGTGTTCAACTCCCTCAGTTCAAATCCTTTTGATGGGGGTAACTTTAGAGATGGGGGGGGGGGATTAGCAAGGCATTGCAATAGCTGTGACTAGAGCAAAAACAGACGTGTTGGGTGAATGGTAGTCAGAGCCAAGATGCGTTTGGAAGATGGACCAGATAGCAACAAGAAGACAAAAAAAAAAAAAAAAAAAAAAAAAAAAAAAGAAGAAGAAATCAAGGACAAATTTGTGGGGTTCAAAAATAGGAACACAGTGATTACACAACAGGAAATGTTTAACATTTAATTTATAAGGCAAGGATACCTTGTTCTTTTTTATACTAGTATAAAAACCAGAGATGGATGGATGGTTTTGGAAATTAGCTGCTCATTTTCATAAATAAGAGACAGGGTTGTAGAATGCATGGCTTCATCAAACCAGGGCTTTCCCGATCTACAACATGCTGTGTGCAATGTCTCCTCAGGTGACCCTTCCTCCAAACACTGAGGTGCCAAGCACAGACAACCAACATGTTAGAGTAACGCCATGTGTCTGAGGAAACGTAACACCTCCTGCCTTAGTAGTTCCATCAACCCTCCACTCCCACTTAAGTATTCCCATCAGTTCTCCACTCAAATAAGTCAAAATTAAAAGAGATGATTTTGACAAATAGCAACCAAAGAATAATTTCAAAGTACAGATGATCTCTTAATAGCCTGGGTTAACACCTGTAACTTGAAGCTTCTCATCAGACCCTTTCAGTATATTTACAATGTGCCCATTCATTCTGTGAAAACTTGTACTTAGAGAGAAGGAATGTTCGTGATACATGCAGGGACTTCAACCTCCCATTTTTCCTTTCAGTCACCCGTGCCAGGAGACCACTTAGTCCCCTTCCTCACCTTCAGTGGTAAGGCTAGGCAGGCAAAAGGATGAAGAGACTTGGCTCGTGGAGCCTTCTAGAGAGAAGGCACTTGTAAGTAGCACATCACATGGATAAGCTATTGGCCAATTTGAGTGGAAACCAGTCTACCAGAGAGCTGTGATCCAGGACGTGGATGAAAGACGTAAGACCACATAGATACTGTCTTGTGTTTATTCACATAGAGGGGTAAGAATTGGTACAAATCATAGACATTGTTTAAATACAAATAAATAGTTCTAGATTCTAAAGAAACAACTCTAGATAATCCTAAGTATTCTCTAGATTCCTATTAAAAATAGAAGGCTATTGGCATCAAATTCTACTCCACCACAACCTTTTGAGAACTTAAGAATGAAATGGTGAATTCTATATTCTAAGAAGTCACCAGACAAATGGGAGCCAGTGTTCCCACTTCCCTGAATGAGCTCCCAAGTGGAAGGAGAGTTTCCTGCATCACAGATACACACAACTGATAAATCTAGGACTTATTCAGTATCTAAAGGGAGCTAAAAAGACCGGCCTTGGGAAAAGCAGTAAGAATTCCTCTGAAGCAGTTCGGTGGATTCTGAAACCCCAGAGGTCAAGTCAAGTGTCTTAACCCCAGGAAGACTCGAGTCTCTACAACTCAAGTCATCATGGGTGGCACCTGTGGTGAGCGACAGTGATCTGCCCAGTGAAGAACAGTGCTGCTAATGAAACAGTCTGTCAGGCCTGGCACCAAAGCGATCAGCACTGAGCTCAAGAAGCACATTCCCAAGGCTGTTTATGTATGTCTCTCTTCTACCATATTCAGTATGTCCAAAGAGACAAAGATATCTGGAGAGAAGCATGTTGTCAGAATAACACTCATTTTTGAGCTGTGCAGTCTTTGGAAAGGACAGAAGCCGTGTGGTTGTTATGGCCGTGGTGCCTGAGCACTGGCTGCTGACTCCTGCTGCTCACTGCACTTCCCTTCTCAGGTGCAACAAACTCACTCAGCCGCTTCTGACAGCCCCATACGACTGGGAGAGAACGATGGTTGAGAGTGACCAATACAGTAAACTTTAGGTTTTCAAAGAAATTCTGCTTTTCTACTTAGATTGATCATGATACAATTCTAACTGGAACAATCTCATGCTATAAAACAATCTCATGCAGTAAGTGTATTAAAATCCAGGTTAGTAATAACATTTGGTATTATAGAAGGCAAGGTCATTCAGATTCAAAGCCATGATTGCCAAAGGATAAAAGCTGGACTTCCCAACAGAGTATCTGTTGTGGTATAAAATGTTAAATGTGATTCTACACTTTGTTGACATAAACAATTTTAAGACATCCACCCCATTTTCCTAATTGAGATTTGGAAATAATAAGCATAATTCTTAAACAGATTGCTACAACATTCACTCAAGGGATCAGTTGCTTTTTGCCAAGAATTCTTTTTAGTCCAACTGAAAGATTTCCACAGTACATTCTCAAAACAGTTCTAAAAATGGCTGAAAATGTCTCTCACTTCCCACCCTCACCCTTATTTTTTGTTTATGTTGAAGAGATGTGTACACATAAAAATGCTGAAAGTTTTTAGTGGATGTTAATAAATTTAGTTTCCTGATTTAAATAACAACTTTGTATGCTTATTTTTCTCTCTGGCACACTGTGTTTCTGGAGTTACAAATCCAAACAAAGCAGCCAACTAGAGCATCTCAGTGTTCAAATCATAGTTTGGACACATTCCTATTTATTCTGGATGATGCTCAATTCCACACACAGTTCAGGGAAGACACATCCATATGAATACCCAAACACATCATGTCACCGGCCCTAAGGAGAGACTGTGCTCTGTTGGTAGTACCATTCACATCTACAAAGTACAGAGGCGAAGGACTTCAGACGTGGAGGCCATTGGCTTCTGCTGCTCTGGTAAGTCAAGACCATCATCTTCGAGACTTCCAGGCTGTTCTAGAGTAAGGGGTAGTCCTTTTTTTATCAGGAGGTTTAAAGTAGGAATAAACAGGCGCTGCTGGGTACTCTGCATCAGGATTTTCTGCCATCATTTTCAGCTTTGCTTCAATGGCTTTTATCTTTGCAGTGACACTGGAAAAAGCACAGCAGAGGGTCAGAGTGGACCAAGGTACATTCAGAAAATGCTTGCCTCTCTCCCCTTCTTACGCTGATGTGCATTAGGGAAGCAACACAACATAAAATTACAAACATGAAATGAGAAAAATGAAGCCTGAAAACCATTTGTATTTTTATAATATAAGCCCAGGCACAGTTTTGCATGTCATATGCCCTTACATAGTCAGTCCTGAGACAGACTTTAGGCAGTATCTCAGTGCTTGTCAGAAAGTAAACAAAAGACAGGACTGACAATGGTGTTAAAGGTAGGCTCTAGTTCTTATTTTGCAAATGTTAAATGGCTTGTGAGTTAGAGTTGAGATGTGGATACAAACTGGCTCAAAGGCCCATGTTATTAACTAATACACACTACCATGCCTTTTCAACCACCGAGTAATATGATTATTATTATTTTTAGAGATTGGATCAAGTCTTTTTTCTGTTAAAAAAAAAAAAAACTTTTATGTCGATGTTTGGCCTGCATGTATGTTTGTGCCTAGTGCCCCCCAGAGTCTAGAAGAGTACATCAGATCCCCTAGAACTGGAGTTACAGATAGTTACAAGCCACCATGTAGGTGCTAGGAATCGAACCTACATTCTCTGGAAGAACAGCTACTGTTCTTAACCTCTGAACCATATCTACAGCCCTGAGTTTCTTTTTATTAACAAATAGGTTACAATGAGCCAAACAATCACCACTGTCAGGACTTTATTACTTCTAGCCCTCATAATAACCCAAGAAGGGTTACCTCAGGATTTTATGGAATAAATACAAAGGGGCATAAATGTGCCCAGGGCTCACAAGGCTAATAAACTGTGGGATTAAGATTCAACCTATTTCTTTGACAAAAAGTCTTTATTTTTCCCTGTGCATCAGAGATGAAGTTGTATAGCTCTGCAGACACAGAAAGGATGAAGTGAGGGATGCTGTGTAAGACATGAGGCATTTACTTCTGACTGGGGTCACTGCAGTCCCTGGACCAAAAGGCAAAGCACTCAAGGCAGTAATGTGCTGCCTCACACATTCCCCATTTCTCATTCTTGATGCTGTCAATAGTCTCTAGCTTGTAAGGAGTATCCACATGTTCTTCTAGAGATCTGCAAACAGCATATAGCAGTTGAGCATTACCATATTACTTTTGTGGGCAACCAATTAAAAACTAAGTCAACAAACATGGGAAAATGCAGATGCTTTCCCTGTAAGTATGTATCTAAACATTATGTGGACCACACAAATACATGCAATTTTTTGAAATTCAAGCTATCAGTAGAAGTAGCCCTACACTGTATTTCTAAGAGCATTACATTGTGTAACAAAGATGTACTTTGGTCTTTCTTCCATTAATGAGACAGTGAGACCTCAACCTGCATAAGTCATAGGGAAATACCCTCCTCTACTGAAGCACAGTTGTAAATAGAAAGATAAAGACTGAAAGACTCTTGATTTAAAAGTAGATGGCAAACACCAGGCTATGGTAAACAAGCTGCGAGTACAGAGGAAAGTTAAAGCCATGCTCACTGTAACAGGGAGATCATTGAGCCTAAGATAGAGAGTGGTAGAGGAGGAGAGATCTGAAAATCTCCATGGAGATCAACCTGACGGGACATGGATATGAGCTCTCAATGACTAAATAAATCACATTTGTTTTCTATGTAATTAATTTCAATCTCTGTGTGGTTCAGGGAGCAGCACTTGTAAGGAGAACATGTTTCCTTCCTGTCTAGTGTTCCATCCAAACAGGTATCACAGACTTTATAACCTTGCATTAGACTGAGTATAACTGTTGACTTCCGATCCATGGGTCTTCCCTCACACACCTTCTGCTCTCCTGAACAGGCTTTACTATGAATCTTGACATGTATAACCTGGGGGTATTTTGAAGTAGTAAGTCAAGGATGGTCTATCAGGCCTGTTTTAAAGTTCTGGTTCTCTGTTACTTTCCTACCAGCAGGGTTTCAGCAGTGATATTTCACTTTTCTAAACTTCGATTTTTCCACATGTGAAGTGTTTTTTATGGTATTAAAGTATGTACTCTAAATAAAGTACTTAGCATAGTTTTTGCTATAGAAAGTTCAATAGATCCTGACTATTGTTACTGTTATTGTTAAAAATTTTCCCTAAGCTACAGTGCAAAGAAAAAAAAAAAAACAAAAACCAACCAAACCCTGCACACCACTCACACACAACTGCTTCTGCTCAACCACCCACTGAACTCCCCTTCTCCTCTCAACTGTTAGTACCCCTGGATTGAATTAACTCCAAAAAAGAAGCTGACAATCCATACAAACTGGAACAAAACTATTATAGTTGCTGCAAGGATACAGAGAATAAAATGTCTGCAAACATAAGAGAGTCCATGGTCAGGGAGGAATTAGTATATAATGAAAACACCAGGGACCGAGGTCTCATTAGAATGCTTGTTTTCAGGGTTAAGGGCTGTGTGTGATTTATCTCACGGAGCAGTGCGTGACCATTCTTCAGTGAATGAATTCAATAAATGGTGGTACATTTATATCATGGTGGGGGAGTATAGAAAAAGAGGAAATATATACTGAACGTATATCTCAACACAACAGATCCGTGATTCTACTTTAGATTAAGAGCTTGTAGATTCACTACACTGTAAAGAAAGTATTTACAAATGGTCAGTGCCAGTCCTACAGATGTTGCCTTACCTGAGGTTAGACTGAGCAGGTTCAGTGCTTGAGGATGGCTCAAGACTGATGGGAAGGATCTTATCATTCTTGTTATGATCATATCTCTGAAAGTGAAAAAAGGGGTAAATTATTTCATCTAGGCAGAAACAAGCTCTGAGAGTACCACATAGGTTAAAACATGCTACCCCTATCCAGTTTATCACCAGCATATTTCTAGACAATCTTAAGCCTGTTTTATATTTAATATTAATGCAAAAATTTTGTCCTAGAAAAAAGTCAAGAAAAAGCTTCTATTTAGTCATTAGTCTTTCCCAGCTAAGAATTTTCATTGCTCAAATTCACAGATGGCACAAATGCACAGCAGGGCTGCCCTCTTACATTCTTAAAACTGCCATATAATGCCTCTTACAGTATTTGTTTTATTCAAAACACTTTAAAATTCTGTTAGATTCTGCAAAGTACCAAGCCTAATACTCAACTCTTAATAGGCCTGAGTGGAGAAGAGGAGTAGTAACAACGCTACTGAACAAGTAGCGGATACAGAAAACATTATATAGGAAAGGAGTTTAATTTGATGTCAGATAATTACATACTTGTGAAAAGTAAGTGTGGTACTGAAGAGCAATCACGATCTTTGGTCAGAAAGGAACCACGAGGTAGAGATTTCTCATGAAAGACAGGATAAAGGTGACTTCTCCTGATTGCCTCTTTATGAAATGCAGAATGGGAAACACAAGCCAGTTTGGCAAATAAGCCTTAGTTTTATTCTGAGTAAAAGCATTTGGTAACTCTGTCTTAGACAGCAAGGGTGCCTGTCCCATCATGACATGAGATGTGCACAGGTCTCACAGCTTATACAACCACTTCTCAGCAGGGATACACTGTTCAGATGTCAGTTTACTCTGAATTCTTATAAGGGGGAAGTGTGCTGGGAAGCAGGCAGCATGCCTCACATCAGAACCTGGGTTCATCTAGCTAAGAGTGGAAGCTCCAGCTCTGACAGCTGCAAATCTGTCTGCTGGCAGGTCTGCAGCAAGGGTTGTCTCCTGGAACTGTTAGAGTCCACATGTCTTACCACCTGTGTGCCAGCTGGAACAGAATTCCTTTTTGTTTGGTTGGTTTGGTTTTTTAAAACAGAGTTGCTTTGTGTAGTCCAAGGTGTCCTGGAATTTGCCCTATAGAGCAAGCTGGCCTCGAACTCACAGAAATCCACCTGCCTCTGCCTTCTAAGTGCTGGGATTAAAAGCGTATGCCACCACAGTCTGGCTAGAATACTTTAAAAAATGGCCACAGTTTTATAGTAAGTACCTCTCCCCAAGAGACCAACTATAAATGGACAGGGAAGTATGCCATTTTTCAAAGCCTAGAGACACACAAATCCTACAAAGTTCCACAAAGCCACACTTTAGTCATTCTCCCAACCTCTGCAGGAGACGAACTGTGGTGCTTTAAGCACAAAGAACCTACCCACTTCTCAAGAATTTAGAATAGCTGGGCAGTGGTGGCACATGCCTTTAATCCTAGCACTTGAGAGGCAGAGGCAGGTGGATTTCTGAGTTTGAGGTTAGCCTGGTCTACAGAGTGAGTTCCAAGACAGTCACGGCTATACAGAGAAACCCTGTCTCGAAAAACCAAAAAAAAAAAAAAAAAAAAAAAAAAAGAGTTTAGCATAAACACACACAAACTCTTCTTAGAGATGTGAGGGTGGGAAAAGTCTTCTAATGTTTACAGTGATGAGTTTTAAAAACAGATTTATCCCCCCTCCCAAGAACAATTCTCATTAAAAAAACCAAAAGACAGAGGTCTCAGTATACACATCAGTCATGTGCAAAAATCAATCAAAGCAGGACCTGTGAGCATGTGCAGAGGAACAATGAAGGAACTTACTTCCTCTCGAGAAGCTTTCAAAAGAAAAGTCTGGCAAGACACATGGTAAATGCCAGCACAGGAGAGCAAAGCATGGCAGTGGCAAAGATAGGCTGGATGGAATGGAGACCTGGGGGCTCTTCAGAGACTCAGCCAGGATGAGGTGGTCTGCTGTCTGTCTCTCTCAGACTTACCTTGACTTGAGCGTGGGCCCACCGTACAACCAGCTTCTTAGACAGTGCCAGCTTGCCATTGAGACACTGGATGGCTTGTTCTGCTTCCTATCCAAGACAGGACAAGAGTCAGTCAGAAACTCAAACGCGTATTAGTTATCTCTATTTTCATAGGGCCTCAGTAAGTTTCGATGGGTTTCTAGCCAAATTGTTTTTGGTAACTTGGCTTATAATTTCAAATGGTAGAACAACAATAACATCTCAAATTATAGAAATGAAATTTCAAATCCTCTGTCATTTTTTGGCAGTACAGTGTTTGGCAGGAAGTTTCTGCATTTGTCAGCTGTAAAATATGGTGACTACTACTTGTTCCGTGGGGTGGCTGTGAGTTTTCAGAGGGTATGAAAAGCAGGAGGCACAGAGGATGCACTTCCTGTGTGAACTGACAGCACTGTCCTCTCAGGTGCTATCTTTCTACACACATGCTTTCACTGGAGTGCACACTACATCACAGGAGGCACAGAGGATGCACTTCCTCTGTGAACTGACAGCACTGTCCTCTCAGGTGCTATCTTTCTACACACATGCTTTCACTGGTGTGCACACTACATCACGAACCTGTGCTCACTCAGGAGCTATGGAGCCATATCCTTGACTATAACTTCAAGGATAAGAAAGAAATCAGGCTAGAAAAAGCAGGGCTAATCTAGAGACTGAGCAAGGTATCTGTGTGAGTCAACCTATGCACCTGGTTTTCAGAGCACAAACTCTCCTGATCCTTTCCTGGTCAGAAAGAGCAGCAACAAGGTTAAAAAGAATGCCTAAAGCTTGAGAAGTCACTTCAGCAAACCTGGCTGTACTTTCCCATCCTGACAAACCATTGGCATCCATGAGGCATTCAACTAAGTGTGACTCAAGTGTAGTAGGGTGACGAGGCCCAAAGGGAGGACCGTTACCAACAGGGAGTGTTGAGGCTGAGGCATAATACAAATAAGCACAGCACTCTGGTATCAGCAGTGAGTTTCTAGCACTCAGCAGCCATCTATAGACATTCACTCACTACCCACTGTGTAGCAGGCATGGGCTATTCACAGGCTGTAAGAATGCCCCACCATAGCATACAGAGTGCTAGACAGGACATATGCTTTTTCATTTGCGGAATTACAGTGTTCTTAATGTTCTCTTAGCTCTAAAGTATCAGCAGCAGTAGAGGCCAACAGAGATAAACATTCTAAAAGAACAACTGCCATCTCTGTACATAGTTTCAAAGTTCACAAATTTAATACTAGATGCCAACAGTGCTGTCACATTTATACTTACGTATCCTCATAGTCTCCTCAAATTGCAAAAGAGAACCTCTTATTTTTCTCTATTTTTAGATAAAACTGAGGCCAAAAGAAGCTTGATCAAAGTTAAAAAAAAAAAAAGTAAAATAAAAAATACTGGAATATAAAGTATGTTTTGTGACTACTGAGTCCAGGGTTTTTAAATAAACAAGTGTCCCTACCATGACCTCTGTTTTTAGTTGTCAGCAAGAATCCTCATCACTCTATCAAGGAAAAACACTTAAAAATGGTTATCATATGAACATCCTTTAATTGCTTCCAAAAAGGAGTGGACAATTAAAGTAATAACATTTCATTTGTTGCTCATGATATCTGCAAAAAGTTAGAGGAAATAGAAACCTTTGAGCACTGCTGAGGATAAATGATAACCTTGTACAGTCTTAGAACTCTCTGATACATCACTTCTTGTACGAATTCTGGCAGCTCTATCTTTTTTTCCTTACTATGTCATCCAGGCTGCCCTCCAACTTTCAATCTTCTAGCCTCAGTCTCCCCAGGGCTAGATTTACAGTCATGTACAACCATGCCCAGCTGTGGCGACTACATTGAGGAAAATTATGCCTTTGCCCTTTTTTGTTTTGTTTTTTTTGAGACAGGGTTTCTCCATGTAGCTCTGGCTGTCCTGGAACTCACTCTATAGACCAGACTGGCCTTAGACTCAGAGATCCACCTGGCTCTGCTTCCTGAGCACTGAGATAAAGCTCACCACTATGCCTGGTTAAAAGTGATGTCTTTTGGTGATGCCATTCACTCTACATAGTGAGAGCTATAATGACACCTTCTCTATAATGTTTATACAGTCAGTCACTGCTGGTAATTCAAATAACTATCAATTGGGGTTCATGTAACATAAACCCATATAATATTATGCAGTCTCCAGAACTTAGGATTTTTTTTTTCTTTTTGTGAGACAGAGCCTCACTAGGACTGGAACTTACTATATAAGACCAGGCTGGCTTCAAATTCAGAGATCCCACCTGCATCTGCTTCCCGAGTGCTGGGATTCCAAGTGTCACCATCCCATGCAGCACCTGATGCTTACTTTTGAACTATACTCTAAGACACATGTGAAACGTACAAATCTGTGATACAGATTGCTGAAGATCAGCATGTGTTATTGAGCAGGGTTATCTCAGTGGTACTTATTTAGCTAGCATGTATTAAACCCTGGGTTCAGACAGGCATGATGGAGCATGGCTTTAATCCCAGCACTGAGGGAGGCAGAAGCAGGAATTCTGTGAATTCCCCACTCTGTGAGGGATTACATAGTGAGGTTGTCTCAAAAAGAAAAAAAAAAAAGAGCAGACATACTGGCCTTGGGTTTAATCTCAACATCACACAAATAAAATTTGCACACAACGTTTGAGACTGAGATACACAATTTGTATATGTGTATATAAATTACATATGCACATGAGTAGTGTGTGTGAGCCCATGCATGTGCACCTGTAGTGTTAAGGCCAATGTTGAATGCACTCCTCCACTGCTTATCACCTTGGTTTTTTTGTGGCAGAGTCTCACTGAATCTGTAACTCAAGAGACTGTATTCTCTTGAACTCAGGGAGAGGATGTTTGTGCAAGCTGTACTACTTAAATTCACTGTTGAAGGACGCAGCCTTTAACTCAGTGTGAGGCACACAGAGAATAACCAGACGTGACTCCTGCCCATGCAGTCTGGTGGTCAAGAGATACAGAATGTGATGATGACAGAGTGCAGACTAGAAGAGGCAGAGGGAGTTCAATTACCTGTTTAGTTTCAAAGTTAACGAAACAGTACCCTCGAGGCTGGCCCTCCAAAGCACCCGACTTGTGGAAGAGGAAGTCAAACTGTTTCACCTTGCCAAACTTCTGGAGGAGCTTGAGGAGGTGGTATCTGTGGAGACAGAAGAGCCTTGAGTTAACTCAGCGAATGCTGCTGGCTGCTCAGCCTCAAATGAAAAATAAAAGAGGGAGGTAATTTACCTCAGGCAGAAAAGTTCCCTAGCCAATGCCCTATACTTTCCTCCGAACTGCTGTTAGTTTATTTGAGAAACAAGACTGTTTGTGCTATTTGGAATGGGAACTAGAATAGTCATGCCTATGCATCTGTCCAACACAAAATAGCAAACAACAAAACCACACCTAACAAACAGCTGTCTGGCACAAAAGCACTGTTTGTTTTTCTTTTGGAGAAAAACTCAAAAATCGTGTCAATCTATTTATTTTTTAATTTCTTGGCAATGAAATAGCTTTTATGAGTATGTGTAACTTCATCAGAAACACACACACACACATCCCAAACACACACATCCAAACCTGCCCTGTATCAAAAATAAACAAAGTTGCAAAACCATCCCTCTTCACACATACAACAGCCAGTCCTAAAACAGCTCTCTATTACACTCTGTATCTATTAGACTCTGTAGCCAATCATTAACCACAAACTGAGAAGGACTCTGCTAGGATCCAAACCACAGTTAGTGGCACCTCCACAGGACTTAAAATGTGCCTGGAAATTAGGACAACGTGGAAGCCAAACAAGTCTGAGGCTGCTCTCACCACGTAGGGAACACTGGCCAGCTCTGTGAATCCGCCAACCTCAGTTTCCGTAATAGAGTATATACTCTGGGGTATGGTCAAATAAGAGTCAAGGAAGGAATTTATTCCCAGCAGAGGTTCACCCAAGCTATTGCTTTGCCATTCTGCTTATCCCTTTCTTCTGGACTCCACTCGTAACACTCATTGGTTTCTATAAGGCTTTTGAGTTGCTCGGACAGATGTGGCCTTAGCAGGTTGCTGTGTCCGATATCATCATTCTGACTTCCTGTCATCCGATGCAAGGGTGAGACAAACCAACAGTTCTCCCATTTCCTTTTCCCCTGGCCTTCCTCCTGGCATCCTCTAAGCTATTCAAATAGAGTCAAGGCTTTCTCTAAACAATGCTGTCTCTTTGATACTAAAAAGGTATCAGCCCACATGCTAAATGTGTTACTACTCGGAATTCTACCTCATAGGGAGTCAGGAAAGTCCTCACAGGCACATTTATATTCACATTGTTTTCTAGGAGAAACACACCAAAAAGTATATTCTTGAGCAAGGTCCCCTTTGAGAAGCATAGATAGGAAATATATCACATGTTGCACTAAATCTGACACTAATGTGTATCAATAAGCAAGTCCATCATCGTTAATTAGGTATCTGATATCACTGTAGGAAAGATCCAATACAGATCTAGAACTGGGATAGGATGAAAGGTTCCCAAGCCCCACTGTGGATAGTAATCTGGTTCTTGAACTAGTTTTGAAATGGTAAACAACCACAACCTGGTACTTAAATACTCTCTCTCTCATCAGGAGACCTCAATTACCCAATGAGAGTGCAGGACTCTTGGGGAGAATTGGGAGACACCTCAAACCTCTGTTCTTGATTATCTGGACAGGATTATAGCAAGGCTGTCTCCTATACAGGCTTTAATTCATAGTCGCACCTGCTCTTACTACACCCATTCAAACCTTCGCACCATGTCAATGCCACAAAATGGTGGGTCAAATCCATTTAAAACAAAACAAAACTTAAGGCTACCACGGCACAGCTATCTTCTCATTAGCTCTGTTCTGCTAAATAGCAGGAAGGTAACGCGATTGGCATTTCCTAGGAAATGAATTTTAATTTACTCAGGAAAAAAATACCAACAGATTATTCATTGTAAAGCTAACAAACACATGCTGCCTGAGAAGTGTGACCTTAAGATTCCAGGAACATCTGCTTAAGTCTGTGTCTTTCAACTTCTCTAAGATTTCTTTTCTTGTTTGATAATTTCTTGAAATTATCGGAACACTGAAACAAAAGGAATGAAATGTTTACTACTTTGCTTCCTGGAGATGGGGACTGCAGGCTTAGATAGTGAAAAAAGCCTGAAGGCTCTTGCTTCCACATCTGCAAGTACTTTCATCTGCTGCTGGAGTATGGGAGCTCAGTCCTCATCAGCCGGCTTGCTTCCCTTAATGAAACGTGCACCCTGCTGCCTTCGGGAGAGAGAATTGCATACTTGGTTCCCTCCCCCCACCCCACTTCTGTAACCCAATCAGTGCTTTCTTCTTCTAATGAGTCATTAAAGTAGCCTTCCTGCCTGGTGGCACAGAAGCAGTCACCTGTACAAATGCTAAAACAGATACCTACTATGTGCCCCTACCTGTCTTCTAGATCCTCAATGCTGGTTAGAGGAGAAAAAAAATGCATAATCCCAAAGGGGTTGGGGGGGGTAGTGGCAGAGGGGAGTGTAGGAAAGCCAGAGAAAGGGGGCCATCGGAATGCAGTGTTAGTATGAGTGAGCACCATGCAATGAGAAAAGTCTTGAAGAGCGTAGAGAGGAGGGGCAGTCATGAGCAAAGTGTAGACAGGGCATTTTGCTTTGAGGTTACAGGAAACAGAGAGCCAATGAAATGACTTTTAGGATTTTTTTGTGTTTTTTACTTAATATATAGTGTTTTTAGATAAAATTTTCTTTATAGTGTATAAAAATTACTATGCGGAGAATCTATTTGTCCTGTGCTATACACCTTACTAAATGTTTTATTGTTTTAGACTTAAGTAAGCAAACAGCAAACATCATTTCATGCAAACCACTGATTATGAAAGAAGAACATGGAACGGGCTGAGAGAGAACATAAGCACGCTGCTGCTACAGGCTTGTGCGTCTACTTCCAGTGAGTCCTGGTTTACTCAGCTAATCCCCAAAGGTCAGCACCAGAAGGACACTTGCACCTGCTGGCTCTCAACTTCTTGGTCTTTAAGTCGACTCTCTGTGCTGCATACTGACCTTTTCACCACTACTCTACGGTCAGGAGGCACTTGAGCTGTTTCCATTCCCCAGGGAAGACCTCTCTGGGGCTGAGACTGAGTTTGAGCCCTAGTGTTATAAAACAAAATAGCAATACCCTTCAGAATCAGCTTTCCTCTCCAGTCTTCTTCAATCCCACTTTTCACATCTCAGATTCACCCACCAATCTCCAAGTTCACTGTCCTATCTGTGTGGCAGTGGCAACAGGTATCTGCCAACTAACGTGCACCCTGTCTTGGCCCTTCTAATCTACCTTGCATGTGTGCAGCTGAATACCCTGCTAAACATTATTGCTTCGGTATCAGGTTCTTGTTAAAATGCTTCGGTACTTCTACATGAACTTCAACTTGTCTGAATACAGGTTAAAGAGCCCATCTTCACCTGACAGTATTCTACCTACCCAACTGCCTTCATTACCATTTACTACTCATCCTTGCCTTAAGCCAAATGGTCCTTTTGGATCTGTTTATACGGAGCCTTCTTAACCCTGACTTACATACATACATTCATGGTTTCCCCTCTGCTTAGAAGGCACTATTAAAATTTCTACTGATATTCTCTCTCACTTACATACAATGCATGTTACTTTCTTATTTTATAGAGCTCATTTAATATTTGAATAAGAAAGCCAGCACTAAGTACAGAATGTCAATCAACATCTAAAATACTAACCTTTTGGTTTCCCTGCTGAGATTTAAAGGTAATGTTCTAAGCTTATAGTCCAGGTCTCACAGTCATTTAGAAGTTTCCACATGTTTAAACTCAAAACAGGATGCTTTAGGTCATGATTATTCAGTTACCCTGACTACCAGAACATCTGAATAAAGGTACAGTTAACTAGGAGGAAGAAACTAGATCTATCATAAACTGCTTTGTAAATTGAGCCAACTCGTGTAAACTTTCCTTTTCCTATAAAGAATGGCTAATCTGTTCCACTCACCTAGGCTGTTATGAGGTAAAATAAGAGGACTTCATAGAGAGTTGAGAGGAAATGTTTCGGTTATTCAGTTGAACATTCTCATTTTACAAACCCATGAGTTACAAAGTAGTTGAGGAATTAGAACACAGTGGGAATTAGTGAGATTTAGGCTTGACTACTGCTGTAGGAGCAAGTGCCCACCACTTCCGCAAGATATACATAGTCACGTGAATGCCTCTGGCATACAGCATAGTCGTGAAACAGTAAGCAATGATAAGACACTAAGTTCACAAAAGCTCAGTCTTACAATATAGCAATATTTGGGAGTGGCTGTGTTTTAATTATTCATGTAGGTTCAGATATCTAACACAGAAGAACAGGATCCAAGAGTTTACGTAGCTGAACTATGTGTAAGGAATCATCATGATCGCAAACAGCATAATGTTTGAGTGCCAGACTGTCATATTCTTGAAAAGAGACTGAAGGATGTCCTTGTATAACTTAGGGAGAACCCAGATTAATAACCAAAAGACACAGATACACGCAGATCAACCAGAACTAATGACAAAATAAACGTGGGGAAAATGAATGGCAGACTGCATTGTTCAAAGGCTGTTTGAAAAACTACCATCAAGGTTGGACATTGCCTACTGGTTCAGACTGGATGTTCTTCCAGAGGACCTGGATTTCACTCCCAGCACATGGTGGCTCATGACCATCTGTAACTTTATTTTCTCCAGAAGATTTGATGCTCTCTTCTGCTTTCCCAGGGAACTAGACATACATGTGGTGCACCAGATATATATGCAGCCAAAAAAAAAAGCTGTGTGTATAAAATAACAAAAGCAAAAAACCCCCCTACAATTATATCAGATACCCTTATAATGAGTCCTGACTGTTTCCTGAAAGAAGCAAGAGAATGTTGTTAAAAGACAAACACTCAAAGCAACTTCTGAAAGACATTAAGAAATAAGGCTAAGGAGCTGGGATACAGGCATATGAAAGAGAAGGATGGATCTGATGAAGAGGAAATAGCAGGAAGCGGCAGCAGTTTGGTTGGTAAGCTTAATTAGAAAAACTGGAAGACATTCTGCAAACTTCCTTTGCGAGTCATCAGAAGATCAGAGGTTTGGATTCGACTGACAACACAATAGCACGTGTTCATACTCCTTCAATGCTGGGGAGTGACTATGCTAATTACTTGACTAGGTTGACTATTTTCTGCACTTTGAGGATCTAAAAGTTCAGGTATTTGAGCAACTTGAAGGAACTAATGTTTCCACAAGACTCATGTAAAGAGCCATTAAGCTTTCAGGTGAACGCCGTAAGCTTTGATTGGCAGCTGTTTTTGAAAATAAATGATGCAACAAATCAGTTTGTTTGAGAGACAAGGTAAGGAAATCATAGAAGGAAAATGGAGAAAATTGTTTTGACAATACAGAAATAGGGATACTACAGGCACAGCACAGCACTTTCAGCCTGACATACAGTTGGTATCTGCCTTTGACTCAAAACATGGGAAAGTCTTAATCCAACCAATGTTCCTGCTAAAGATATAATTCAGAAACATACTCATGCTCATTCTGACATTAGCCCCAGGGCAGATGCTCTGTGAACCCGTGACAAGAAGCAGGACAGGAGCAGCCCAGGAGCCTCATCACAGAGAAATATAGCCAACACAAGCGACATGGTTTCCACACTTTTAGATTTCCATTTAGACAAGGAGTGGTGGGAATGGAAACCACTCTGGGGAACATCCCCTTATAGCCTGCATTTTAGATGATGGAAAAACTGACATGAAGAGAGGATGTTAATAAATACAGTCCACATTCCAGTGTTCCCATGACCACAGTAACATGACATGGAAACAACATATCTTCAGTAGCACTGTAATTTATACCCAATGATATCTACATTTATCCGATTTGAGCCTGTGCAGGTTTAAGAGCAAAATTCTGTGTTGTGACATAAAATTACATCTCTTTTCCTCTTTCCTAACCTCAATCCTTAAATATACCTCATCTCATCTCAGACTCAAATGAGAGGGTTCCTTTCTCATAGCCTTGTGTTTACTTAGTCCTACTCTAGAAATAATTCCAGGACTGCTGGTTTATTCCATGATTGGTTTAAGTACTGATTCCACGTAGACAGTCTACTCACCCCTCACTATTCTGCCACCAGCCAGCACCAGCATCCTCACCCCTCCTGCCCCCATGGACCTAGCAATTCTCTGCCAAGACATTCCTTTTCAGTGTAATGGGTCTGATGGAACAAGTGGGAACCTGAATTCAATTAGTAATGTAATCTTGGGCAAGGTAATTCTGCCTCTTAGAGCCTCATTTCCTTCATTGTAGAGAGAGTTGATGGTGTCAGAGGTCCCCAAGTGATCACGACCCATGGAACCTGTCTAAACTGCTCAGCATGGTGTTGGGCACCCAACAGGTGCTCCGGTCACTTAGTAAATGAGTGACGACCATAGGCATGAGGATGACTCTAAGATCTCTTCCCACTCACTGTCGATGGTTCTGTGGCTGCTCATTGCCATCAGTCAAGTGGGGTCCATACGTTTATTCTTAAAGATCCCAAGACTATTTCTTGTTCCTCCATTTTGGAGACAAAATATGCCTCAGGTTGGTTCTACAACAGTTCTCTAGAAATGCAGGGAACAGAGTTGAACAGTTGGCAAAGAGTCCCACTCTTTGTTGACTAGGAAGAAAGAGGCTTATGCTTGAAGGAAACCAAAGTTGGGTCCTCACAGTTGTATGAAAAATGGTAACAGGCTAAGAACAGCATCATGTCCCCTTTAGAGAAAAATTCCAACACAAATGAAGGGATCAAGATGATGCTACTGCTCTGAAAAGTCTCCTGGGCATCCACAGCAGATACCGAATCTCTCCGCACACGTCAACTGGACTTACTCTGTGATCTTGGGATCCAGGTTGCCAATCCATAATCGGTGTCCTTCTTGTAGAGAGCCCTCTGAAAGGATGGATGCATTCTCCAGGGGAAGAGTTTTAGTTTCTGCTTCCATCAATCTCTAAGAAATACTAAAGGCAATGTGAACCTTCAGGCAAGAGAATAAAACAATTTTGTGTGAACATGAGACTTCACATGCAATCCAAATATATATCCAAGGAAGGCATGTTCTCTGGGCAGTCTTTCAAAGGTCTGTGATTCCCCAACTGGGGCCCTGGGCCAGTTCCCTTAGGACGGCCCTTCTGGCAGCCAGTTACCTTTTAGGATAAAGAGGTAATGTTGTGTGGAGAGTCTTAGGTCTTCCTGACTGATGCAGGAGGCCAGAGGCTCTATCACCACATAACAGTCAGGGAGAAAAAAAAAAAAGGAGACAGTCTTGATGGCGTTTAAGGGAACAGGCATGGAAGAACAGCTTATGTTCCTGTTCTTCTTGGAGCAATACAAGTAAAGGGAGGAGGTAGCACAAAAACAGGAGCACACATTCTGCAGTTAGGGCTGGATTTGAAAGCAGGCTGTGTGACTTAGTTAATTATCTCAAATTTATAAGCCTCAATTTCCTCAAATGTAAAATTAGAGGGAACTATTCTTATTTTACAGAACAGTTGTGAAGATTACATACATTAAAAAAAATCACTGTATTTAACAACAGTAAGTAGTCAATATATATTTGCTATTGATCAAGTTTTCTGTTTTGGCAATAACAAGAGATCATTCACCTTAGTTATTACAGTTCCCCATCTGTTTTCTTTGTGTAACCTTCCCAAGTCATTTAGCAACTCTTCAGTTTAGTTCCCTTATGAGGACAGTATCTCATTAAGGTACATAGCTCTGCCAAGTTCTACTCCTAAAGCCTTTAGAACCAGGCTCCTCAGAAATAGTCAAGACTGATAAATTATTGCTAGTCTTCATTCCTGAAGCATCTTACCTCACAGAAAGGAGAATAAGAATTGTGATGGAGGCGGTAATGGAAAGAGCAAAAAGCCTGGAGCCAGAAGACTCTGTTTCCAATTGTTTCATTTCCACTGGAAGTTATTCCTCTTGGTACCTAACTTTCCTTGTTCTTATGTACTTTATTATCCTGGGGTAGAGGAGCGGGCTGTGCTATCATGCAGCTCAGGCAGCAGTCAGAAGACAACTTTCAAGAGTGGATTCTCTCTTTATTCGCTTTTACTTGGGCCCTAGGGATTGAACTCAGGCTGTTTGGGTTAAATGGGGAGCACTTTTACTGGCTAAGCCATCTTGCTGGCCCAGTTTCTTTATGTTTCAAAGTAAACTCTGAGGGGCTGGAGAGCTGACTCAGCAGTTAAGAGGCCATGTTGCTCTTGCAGAGGACCCAGGAGTTCAGTTCCCAGCAGCCACTTGGTGGTTCACCACCTTCAGTTCTAGGAGATGAAACAACTTCTTCTGACTTTTGCAGTTACTGCATATATGTTCTGCACATACATAGATGCAGGCAAAAGGCTCACAGAGTAAATAAACCTAGAAGATCTGTAAAGATAAACCCTGCTTTTCTTATTAAAGTTGCTGCAAAAAAATGAGTTTATAGATGAAAAATGAGATTTTAGTAAATATACAATATGATAAAGAAAAGATAAAGGGACAGGGAAGATAGTTGCCTATACCAGACTACAGACCTTCCTGCTAGAAAAACAACAAAGACAAAAACAAAACAACAACAACAACAAAAACCCAAACCAAAACATGTATCTTCTGTATCTAGAAGTGCTTCAAGCTCAGCCTTGTACAAAATACTCCCCATTCTCAGAGATTTTTGAAAGGGAGAGAGATAAATTTAAAAAGAAAAAAAAGGCAAAATATTGAGGTAATTAATGACAGACACTGAGACAGGTACTATCACTTAACAACTCCAGTTTAGTTCCCTTATGAGGACAGTACCTCACTGAGGTATGTAGCTTGGCCAAGTTCTACTCCTAGAGCCTTTAGAACCATGCTGAGGACTCATGCAACACTGAGGAGGGCCATGTGACTGGGGGCTGCACTACTTTAGACTGAGAAAGCTGGATTTGAATGCTAGAACTTTTGATGTTCTCATGTCTAAAAGCAACTGTAACACCAAAAAGATACTTAAAAACGCCAGAGGCTATGTTTCAATAGGAAGAATACAAGACATGAGGCTAGAGAGACCCAGACTCGAAATCGACTTTTCCAATTACTGTGCCTCCAGTAACCCCTTAGGTATCTTCCTCACATTCTCTGCCCCTGCCACTTTCCCCCCTTCCCGTATAATGTGAATACAATGAGTTATTTACTTTTTGCCTATGTCTCTAAAATGATAAAAGCTCTCACAGCATAGGGCCTTGATCATGGTTCGATGCCCAGTATATAGAACACTGCCTGGTTCAAAGTTGGTACTATTTTCTGAGAATGAATGAAACAAGGTCAATACTCTTCTTTCCAGAGAGGGAGACAATTATTCCTGCATCACGTGGTCATTTTAAATAAGAATATACTTGTGACAGCTCGGCCCATGAATATTTGAGAAACAGTAAAGTCTAATAAGTTAGTATGTGACTATCAAGTCTTTTGGGGGGAGGGGTTGCAAAGGCGACAACTCCTTGGAGTAACAAGTTCACAAAATGCCAATCTACTCCTCCCAGCTGAGCTGTATCAACTCTAGAAGTCAGGAGGGGACTGGGGTCGCTTATTCCTACACAGTAACCACGGGGTCAGGCCAACAACCAGGGTTTCCCGATTCCTGGCAGCGAAGTCACTAAAGGGATTGTTATTTCCGGCCAGAGACAGGACAATCCGGGGCGGGGCCTAGAAGCCTGCGGGTGAGGGCAGTCTTCGCCAAGGCCTCGCGGCCAGGATGGCGCTGAGCTTCAGGTACTCACCCGCTAGCTTCGGAGCTGTGCCCTCAGCTCATGCCCCGAAAGCAATCTCCGACGCTGGGGTCCGAGCCAGGGACGTGAGGTTGCCTCTGCCGAAACACCTCTCGCCGCCCGGCCGCCCGTGATGCGCTACGCCTGCGCCGCCGCGCCGGCCCGTGACGTCATGACGCCCGTCCCTCCGCCTCCGCTGTGCCGCGTGTGTTTCTCTATAATCCCGGCTGTAGCTGGTGAGTGGCCTCGAGGGGGGCTCTCAAGGAGTGGGCGGGATCTAGGTGCCGGTGACACGTTTTCTAGGACCTCGGAGGGACCTCGTGGGGCTAGGACACCATCCGTGACTGGTTCAGCAGAGTTCGGCTCGACCTTAAGGCCGGGGGCGGGACTTCTATGCTCTCAAGGGTGGGGCGGGGCTCGTGTCACTCAGGGGACATTTAGAGCCTTGCCCGGGAACTTGGTAAATAGTTCCTGATGTTTAAGACGTCACCTGACAGGAATAATGCCCTTTCCAAACAGCCCTACACGTGGAGGTGTAATTATTCCCGGTGATGAAGAAACAAAAACTCAAGCGCTGTCTTTACCAAGGTCGCGCGGCTCCCAAGTGATGGAGTTTGAATTCCATCCAGGCCTGAGTGGAACGCCTGGGGCTTTAAAATCATCATTCTGCCGTCCTGTGGGCAAACAGTTGTCATTTCGATGGTGCTTCAACATTCCCGTGACTCTAGCAAATTTTACAGATTAAGAACACATACTTAGGAAGCACTAGAAGCAGGACTCTTGCCTAGACTATCTCAAAGTTTGGTGCTTTTTTTTCCCCCTTCCCATTCCTGTGTTTTATTAACTCATACACAACTACTTGTCTTCTGGATTGTTGAAGCAATAAGTCAGGCAACACTCGCCACAGTTATGTCTGTCAAAGTGACTAGCCATGAACATTCCAGCCCCGTGTTGATCAGAAGGACACTCTAGATGAAGTTGACTGATTTTGCCATTTTCATCCCCTTTATAGTTTCAGCACAGCCAGCTTAACCTTCTTTCTCTTATATTATTATTCTTGGCAGTGTTGTAAGACTTTATCCTTTCCTCAGGACCACCATGAAGTCTCAGCACAGGAGGAAGAGTGGACTCCTTTTGAATGTTAACAGTCAGACAAAGTATGGCCATCTTCCAACTGCTTGCCAGCAAAGATCAGCCTCTGCTAATCAGAAGGAATTTCATCCTTATCTTGGATCTTGGCCTTTACATTTTCTATAGTGTCTGAGGGTTCAACCTCTACTGAGATCTTCCTCCATAAGGGTGTTCACCTCTTCCCCTGAAAGGTCTGCATCGTGGGGGTGGTTCCACCACAGATGGCGGATCGGATACACAGTGCTTTCTCTTTGACCACATTCCATTGCATTTCCCAGAATCTTGGAGAACTCCTAGTTGGAAAGTCAGGAAACTTGATTTGATTCCTTCAGTTAATGGCAGAGGATACAAAACCAAAGTAGGAGAAATGATTTGCTATAGTTCTTATTCGTGGTAGAGCTGTGATCCATGCTCTTTGAATATAGGTGGTTGTGAATTCCAAAGTTGTATGTGATAGCGATTGACGAGGTGGGGATACTGGAATCCAGGTCTTTTAGTCTTTAGGTAAAGCCTTTTGTCCACCTGTTAGATTTTTATTGTTCCTCCTTTGCCTCGTGCCACGGACTTTTGGATGTTGTATTGCGTCAGATATTCCAAATACCTTTCTTTACATGATACTGAATTTGAAAAGAAGTACGCCCTGTTCCAAGCAAAGAACTGGAAATTTAAGGGATAATGGAAACAGTGTTGAGAAATAGATCCCAAGACCTGCCATCAGAGGTGTAGATTCCTACTCTGATGCCAGCATTTTGACACTGGGCAAGGATTTAACCTTTGGAAGTCTGTTAGTTTCCATACTTCCCACATTTGTATGATGTCTATATTTTTGTACTAAGTACAGGGTACAGTAGTAAACAAGTAGATTAGTAGGTAGATTTGTCTCTTAGAACTGTCATGGAGTGCCAACAGTCATATGGATATACTTAGACAAGGATCAAGTAATTATACATATATTTACTTTTATCTTTAAAAAACTATGTGCTGTGGTGAAGTATTGGGCATGAAAGCTGCATTTTAGGAGATCTGACCGCCCAGTTTAGTTGGAAGTGACCAATGACCTTGTCCTCCACAGAGTGATGGTTAAGATGAATGGTAAAGAAAAATGAATGGTAATGAGATAAAGGGAGAACATTCCAAGCAGGGGATTGAGGATGGGGGTGGTGCATGCCTTTAATCCCAGCACTCAGGAGGCAGAGGCAATCGAATTAATAAGTTCAAGGCCAGCCTGGTTATAGACTGAGTTTCAGGATGGCCAAGACTACACAGAGAAACTCTGTCTTGTAAAACCAAAAAATAAGAAAGAAATGTATGTTGTATATCTATACACAGCTGGTTGGGAAGGGGTTGCTGAAGCAATGAACAGGCCAGGATATAGATTCATAAATATATGAAACTCGTAAAGAGTCAATAAAAAGTATTATTAAAATATTGATTATCTAAAGTGAAAAAAAAAAGATGTGGTAGAAGTTGTTGCTGAGGACTGACCTCCTCAAGGTCACATATGTATTAAGTGGAGAAACTGGTTCTCCTGTGAGTGGGTTAATGTTATTGGAACATGCTAGAACTCTCATAAGTTTCTCCTTCAGTTTTAGTATTTCATATGTGCTGACCTGACCATGTCCCTAACGTTAAAGACCCAAAGGACTACTTTATTGAACTTCCACTGTGAAATTTCCTGGCTTCTGTGCAATGAAACGTATGTCTCAAGCATTCCAGCAATGTGGTTTATTTATAGAACTGTCTTCCGGTCACTTGTATTGGGTCTGCTTTTTGGTGCTGCATTTTCTGTCAAAGGTTGTTTATTTCTAACCCATTTCAGTTTCCTGTTGCTTTGTGGATTGGTATTATGGCCCACAACAGGAACTCCAGGAAACCTGTCATACACACTGCAGCCAGATTAAGGCCCTGTCAATTAAAAAAAATCCACTGTACATTATTATATACCCATATTTGGGTATAAATGTGAGTTGGACATTGGCTATATTAGGTAGAAACTTACATTTAGAAGTGTCACTCAGAGCCAAACTTTTGTCAACAGTTCTTAATAGTATTTGTTCCATATCTTGGATACTTAATCTCTCTGAGCCTTAGTTTTAACATGTACAAAATGGGGACTATAGTGCTTTATCTGTGGCAGTATTGACAGGAGTAAAGCAAGCAGCCCAGGCCTGTGTTTGTAGACACTACACAGGCTGATTGCATATATGCAGCATAACTTGCCATCAAAAATTCCATCAAAAGAAAGTGTTTGCCTTTGTATTATTCATGTGTTTTCTTTTTGGCTTGCTTTTTAAGGCAGGATCTCATCTAGCTTAAGCCAGCCTCTAGTTTGCTGTATAACTGAGCCTGACTTTAAATTCCTCTGCTTCCTCCTGCCTTCCCTCCTAACTGCTAGGATTATAGACAGGCCTCACTCACCACACATGGCATTATGTGTTACTCATTTTTATATTAAAAAGAAGTCACAATAGTAATAATAGTCACACGTCTTGAGCAAGTAGCATATTCCAGATAGCATGCTGGATGTTTTATAGGTATGTGTATGTTTTATATGTACTCCATATTTCATTTTTAAATGAGGCTTATCCTTCTCATTGAGAGGGAAAGGATGAATTGTCCCAGGCAGAAATTCATATCCATGTCTGACTGAATCCAGGCCACTTTACACATCAGGTCTGACATCTGTGCAAGCGTCTTTCCCATATCTGACCCTAAGGAAAGCTGATAGCTATCAATAAGCATTCTTTTTTGTGTCCCTGTCATTGAGTAGTCACTAAACCAAATGTTTTACCTGCCTAGCCTCATTTCCAACTTGAAGAAATAAGTACCAGTCCCATTTTACAGAAGAGAGTGAAGAGGCAGAGATTCTCCAGGCTGTTTAGTTAGTGGTGGATCTGGTCTTGGGTTTTATGTTCTTGCTGCAGAATGCCTTCTCTTCTGTACTCCACTGTGCTGCATCAACATTTTAGGAGTTGTTTTATAACGACATGTGATTTTCAAAGACAGTGCTTCCAGACACTTGATACTAATTGTTCTTAATTTTTAGCTAATAGCCAGATTCTTGGCAGAAGCTCTCAGTGTTATATTGTTAGCTAGGATATGTTCTGTCTCAGAGGAAGCAAGAGCATCTTTGTATGGTCAAAGACCTCAGAAGTGTGTATAACTTGTGTTAACTCAGTAGATGGTAGCATTTCCCAGTTCTAGACCCTGGAAGATCTCAATCCTCACTCATGCTTCAGACTCAAATTAAAGTGCACTCTAATTGGTAATCAGTGCATAAGGAACCAAAGAAAATTTTAATTTAATGCCGCCGTGTATGTTTTGTAGTCATTTAATGCCTATTAAAATGTTTTTCTTACTTAAACTCCCCTTCTAGTACTCGGCCCTTCCTCTTGAGCTCTATCACGATTTTGTGCTTCTGCTCATATAAGGGTTTAGTTGGCGTCATTACAGATTTAGGCTGCTGCACATTTGCTGAGCAGGCATTTAGATGCATTGGAAGAACTCTACAGACGGGGTGGGTCATTGAAGACTCTGGGCCTCAGCCTCTTCATCCTGTAAAGTGAGGATAATCATTCTCCCTGGGAGGAAGGTTGGGGATAATGCACGCACAGTGCCGAGGTCACGGCTTAGTTTGAGGAGTTGCTTGGCAGTTGGCATAAATTCATTTTGTAAGTTTTTTTCTACTGAAATCCCCTTCTCCCTCTTAAGACACTGTTTCTCTGCATGGCCCTGGCAGTCCTGGAATTCTCTTTCTGTAGGCCAGGCTGGCCTCAAACCCAGAGGTCTGCCTGCCTCTGCCTTCTGAATGCTGGAATTAAAGGCATGCACTACCACTGCCCAGCTTACTCAGATCGTTTTGTCTTATTCTTTGTAGTGGCTGCTTCTGAGGATTCTCTTCCGTCATGGCCTTAGGAATAAGATGCTTTCGCCTGCTGCACCCTACCTTTCGAAGTTACCTTGCTGCTTTGACCAGACCTGTTTCAGAAGTTTCCATGAAGACAGTGAATGGAAGACAATGTGACTATAGCCAATACTCGGCCTACCCAGCAGTACCAGTTCGCCATTTTGCAACCAAGAAAGCTAAAGGTATAAGGTCTCCTTCCCCAC